CCTGCTGACTACAATAAACAAGACCAATGTAAGTGTCAATAGTACTTCAACTTCAAGATAATACATTTTCCCTCAGAAATATGATCTACCAATACATATATGTTTCAGTAGCCTATAGTTGTTTTGTTTAAGGATGTCTTAGGAGATTGGAACTTACAGAAAGAGATTTCCTTAAAACATGTTCTGCAGAACTGGGTTAAAAAAAATAGCCAGTGCTGGAAAACAGTGAAGTAGAGACGTAAATAATTTAACCACTGTACTACAGCTCTTGCCCCAATCTCTCTATTTCCTCAATGAGGAAGTCAATGTCAGACTTAGTTGCTGCTGGATTTGAGATGACCATTCGGAAGAAGTTGACTTTATCGCCCTGAGGCTGATATCCAACCATGGTAGTACCTGATTCCATCATCAGTGCTTTGATTTTCGGTGCCACCTTTATCATTTAAAAAAAAGAAGAGAGAGAAAGAAGAGTAATCAAAAGATTTTATCCTTTCTTTTCATGTCACAACATTTCTTAATTTGGAAAAAAATAAATGGACAGATCAGAAAAGCACTGTAACAGAAAAAGCTTGAAAAACTAACTATGTAGGATTGGATATTTAGAGAAAATTGACAACAATAATATCCAGTAGTAGACTAGTAATATCCTGGAGTACTTACTGTGTAATAATTTTGTAAATTAAATGTACATGTCATTTCTTTGTGCTGAAGAACATTTCTTTGTGCTGTGATTTTGTCACGAAGAAATATTTTCTGTCTTTTTATGAAACCTACTCCAGAGCCACCTTTTTGAGGGTAATGGATGTTTTCCATGAGAATATTATGTATTCTCAAAGTCATTTTCCAGGGCGAGGCAGGGGCAGGGAGGGAAACATAGATGGAAATTTTTCAAGATCTATGCCACAAATAATATTGTCGGTTAGCATAAGCCATGGAAACCTTCCAGTAGTTTTGCAGTACTGTGCACTTAACCGCAATCTCACTTCCTCACTTTAATTTACAAGGAATAATGTTCTGACAATCTTAATATTTGATATTCACTGAGTTCGGTTTTTCCATCCAGACCTTCTTTCTCCTGCTCCACTCTCTGCCCACCAAGGTCAGATGTCTGGCTCTGTTACTGTTCTGTAGGATGCTTTAAAATGTCCTCTAACATTTAACAGGTCAAGTCAAATATTTCATCCTTCCTACCAGTCTTATCTATCTTCCTCTTTTCTCCCTTTTTTAGCAATTTCTTTCTCTAACATCACTGACTTGACCCAGGAATTTCTATTCTCTTCTGTTCTCTTTCCACAGTGTGATATAGACAAAAAATCCTCTAAAAACCTCCCAAGTTTGCCCATTCTTCTCCCTTCCCAAACATTAAAAAAAAATTGCAATTTATTTTGACAGCTATAAAATCATTCTTTTGTGTCTAGAATGTATTCCATTCCACTTCTGACTGTCTAAAGTGGTACTACAAAATGAATGTATTCCACATCCCTCAAGTCCTAAGTTAGAGGATACTTTTCCTGGTGGTACCTCTATGATGCCTTCACTTCCCTCTATCCTATCTTCAAATAAATTTATCTCAAAGTCCTCCAAAGGGTATTAATTTCCACTGAAATACATTAATGCATGGCTAACCAAGCACATGTAAAAATCAAAACAAAGACCTGAGAAGGACTTAACGAGTTTCCATGTCCTTTGCTTATCCCAGCATTTTCAAATAATTACCCTTCTGTTTCTCTTGCTGACACGCTGTCCTGGGATATCTTTGTGCCTAGCTACTTCTTAAAGATTCATAACAATTTTGGGAACACAGAAGTGATACAAAACAGAATAACTGAGGATGTTCTCTATCTGGTTCTATAGGAGAAATGTGACTTCAGCCTCAGTATAAATAGAAGACAAAGGTGAACAAATACCAAGGTCATTACAAGCAATTGGAGAACTGACATCCCAGAATTTGGGACATGTGTCAACACACAGATGTATTATTTTGAATGAACAGAATACTTTGGGTTGAAAGAGTAGACTCTATTTTTACATTTAACAAAACCCACATACCCTGTGCAATTTTTCTCTTCTCTCATCAGAGTCCGGCATGCCCCTGAGACTTGGTGGAATATACCAAAAACATACATTGGTATGCTCTGGCTGCAAAAAGAACCAAACACACACGTCAATAAACAAAATAATACAGATCAATGACACCGTAAAGACTAGTCAGTAGCATATTTTAGCACAGACACAGAAGACACAATATCATATTAACTTCCCCAGTTCTGCATCTTAAAACAAAGTAAATGGCCTACAACACTGCTGGTTGCACCTGCTGTCTTAGATACCCTATACGTTGTCCCATTTACAATCTCTTAGGGTACTAATGAAGGGCAAGTGCTTCTCACCTTCAAGCAGTTTTATGAGGAACTGTTTTCCAGGATTGCAGCAAGGGCAACTCAAATTTTCCTTTTCTTAGTAAGTGGAGAGACAAAATGTATTCCTTATTCTATCAACCAAGAGCTTATGCGGCAGCACCAGCAACAGAACATACAGTAAAAATAGCAGATTCCCAGTTATGTATGTTATCGTGTGGAATCTCAGCATGAGTAGATTGCATTAAGGCAGTCTTCATGCCCTAAACTGAGAAGTCCTCTGCAGAAGAGGAAGAGAGGAGGTAACTACATTTATGGTACAAAACCACATGCATTTAGCAAAAAAACTGCCCAGATGCCAACAATCATGTAGTTCTTTAGGAAGTAAAAGCAGTTTTGCATATCTGGCAAAGCACTGTGAGAACTTTGAGGACTGCTTTGGAAATTTCATATAGATTTGGCTCCTACACACAGTTAACCTGTGAATGAAAGAAAACTTACCTCCCCTTCAAAAACCATCTCAAATTCTTCTCTGTTTTTGATTTTAGTGTAGAGATATTCTGCCAGCTCCAGGCATTTGTTGATCTGATTTTCAAATCCTACTGTACCCTGTTTTAAAAAGAAAGTTAAGTATTAATTATATGGTCATTTTTCCTTCTCCAATGCAATCATCTTTTCAGACAGGCTTCACTCTTAAATATTTTCAGTCAGAAAACATTTTTTCAGTCAGAAAACATTTAGCAATATTATTTCTTGTAATTTACAAGTGAAGTTAATCAACACTACACAAGTGGTTAAATGTGGCCTGTAATCACTCCTAGGTTTTGTTCTCATTGTAAGATAATTTATTATGATAATAACCAGAGCTTTTTATATTTTAATAGATTAGTTTTAGCTCTTTTTTTTTCAGTTTCCAAAAATATTATGAATATCAATTCTTGGCTTCCCATCTCTCACTGAAAGACTACGAACATAGAATGGGAACTCAGGTGAAAGGGTAAGAGTCATGAAGTAATTTATTTCCTTTAAACAGTTTGCTAGAAATTTACATTTGAAAAATTCAGAAAGCAAAAGCCTGCAATACGTTTGCTGTAAGTCATTTGCCTACCCACGTCTCTTCTGTCATACCTGATTTGTTTTGAAAGATCATAATCCCAGAAAAGGTAAATGAATGTTGATAAGACAAAAGAAATAAGACAAAAAAATAATAAGACAAAAAAAGTTTGTGTTTTTTTCTTTTTTTTTAAAGGGCAACTTTATACATGAATGAAAAGTAAGAAAGACAAATACAGTCGTAAATTACTGCATATGTGGGTTAAGTTCTTTGTAGTGAATAAAATGACCGAAGGTAAAGTCACAAGAAGAGAAGGAGAAGAGGAGGCTCCGAGGACACCTCATTACAGCTTTCCAGTATCTGAAGGGAGCCTACAAGGGTGCTGGGAGAGGACTTTTTACAAGAGCCTGTAGTGATAGGACAAGGGGTAATGGGTATAAATTGAAATCAGGGACGTTTAGATTAGATATCAGGAAGAAATTCTTCACAGAGAGGGTGGTGAGGCACTGGAACAGGTTGCCCAGAGAGGTTGTGGATGCCCCATCCCTGGATGTCTTCAAGGCCAGGTTGGATGAGGCTTTGAGCAACCTGGTCTAGTGCAAGGTGTCCCTGCCCATGGCAGGGGGGTTGGAACTAGATGATATTTAAGATCCCTTCCAACCCAAACCATTCTGTGATTCGATGATTCTAAGAATACCTCCAGATCTAGGCTGTATATTTCTCCTATGAGGACTGGTATGATCACTCATGGTGGCTAACACTGAAGGAAAAGATTTCATAGTTCCTAATATTTTGGTTTCTTAATGTTTTTGTAATATAATCATGCAAACTGCTAGAAACAGATTCTATCCAATACCTCGGAGAACGCAGGTCCAATCAATCTGAATCTGTCTCAAGACCAAGCAGAAATCCAAAGTAGCTAATCTCTGGAGAAATTTAAATTCCAGTGATACAGATCAACTTAGCAAGTTTAATCTATATAATTTTTAAAGAATCACATCCATAAATGTCCTACTTCCAAATTTTAAATAGGACCCGTTTGCATTATGACTTCTACTGTATTTTTCTTCTTTACAATAAAGTGCTCTACTTGCCTAGTGAGGTCAGTTTAACAGCAGAGGTAAAATCAACATGCTAGTTTTTTAACAATATGTGCTATTTAGAAAAATATTCAGTCCATGCTTTAATGGTGTCTGTAGTCAGCACTTAATAGAACTATAAACAACACACTTAAAAATTTCTAGGCACAGTCCGATTCGGGTGTGTCATGAGCAGTTTCACGTTACTGGATTACAGTACCAAGTTGATTTATTTTGGAGGAAGAACTGAGTCCAAACGGAAGTGTACTTAGCCTGGTAATCAAACCTATGCTGATTACTAAAGTAATAGTTATAAGTATTTTGTGTTGAAGTGTTCTGTGGTTTTTTTCTGACGTACTTTTTAAAATAAACGGTGACAACTCTGCTAGCTGCTATATAAGTAACTAGCTGATATAAGTAACTGTATATCTAAAGTTCTGTTAATTTCCTCCCTCGGTCCTCAATATTGAGGAAATCTGCATGAAAACATCTTTTATCATCACAGGTTATTTACTGTTGCTGCCTAACTCTCACCTGAAGTAAAAGCTGTTTTATGATTGTACATTTTGCCATTAGACTTAATATTACCTTTACAAGAATATTTAGACTGTGGACAGGTTACGCAACTGAATTCCATTTTGCCAGCAGAAGAGCAAGAGTGGTAATAAGATGACTGCAGATAAATGAATGAAAATGAAGTGTGTTTTCTTGACTACAAGGACCCTCATCTTGTGAGCACATAAGACTGTACGTAAACCCATGCTTAAATTCAGCCATCCAGGCATACCACACTGGTACCACTGTCAAATCATCCACTGGGTAAAGTTTCTTGAGAAAAAGGGTTTGTTTTCAAATTTGCTTATAAAATCTATGCATTGAGACATGATACAAAAAAGTAAATCACTTTTACTGTGCTACTACAACAAGTAATCTGTCATAAAGCACATAGGTAACTGTACAGAATCACAACAAAAGAACATTGCAGTGTTCTGCCCCCACTGGTTTTACTGCAGGAGTCATCTACTGACTTAAACTTTTCTTCTAATTTTCAGCTGAGTTTATTCATGGCTATCATTGTTCTGCAATTCAAATGATCTTTTCAGACTGAATACTCAGATACCTCTGTGTTTAGAGATTGTAACACAAATATTTATGTTATTGAAAGTGTTCCATTACATAAGAATTATAAATTAAATACATTTCTGATTTTTGAACTGAACATTAATTATTTACCTTTGCCTTCCACATCAACCAGAATTTGAAAATGTCGACATGCCGACCACACTGTATTGCCTTATCTCCAGTGTCATAGGATACATCATACTGTTTGTCTTGCTGGAAGAGATAGCCTGCACACATCTGATTGCAGCCCTGAAGTATACCCTGCAATGAAAAACATGTACTTATAGGACTTAGATGGCATGTGTGCATATTAAACCATATGCATTAATAATATATGAAAAATTCATTTCAAATATATACAGAAGACTTGTTGTTTAGTGGGCCAAATTATAAAATACTGACCTTGTTTTGTAAACCTGAGACACAAAAATAATCTCATAACCTAAGGTGGTTCTCTCAGAAGTCCCTGAGTAGTCATATGGTTTTACACCCTCACACCTGACAAAATATTCTCAGATTAATGTGGATTCTCAGTTTTTGACACTAACTTTGACCACTTCACTTTTTCAGGTTATGTTCTTAAGACTTAAATTTTTGATGTATTAAATTGCACACTAGAATGAAGCTCTGGTCTCTCAGTGCAGCAGACAGCTACAGAAAATGAAGGAAAAAATAAAAAGTCATTGAAGTCTTCAACTTTATATATTGTCCAGCTCTTTGACGTTTAACATTAGTGATAAATATAGTTACAAATTACCTAAGCCAGACATTTTTTGCTTCCAAATAAATATGGTCCACAGACCAATAGCAACCTGCAGATTGCTGGTAAACACCTCTGGGGGAACACAGAGGAGCAAATTACTCTGTATGTTACACAGACGTCTTATACGTGTGACATTTCTAAAGCAGTTTGTTAGAGTTTGTTAGTGGTTCTTCGAAGCTCAAAGACACTGGCCTATCTGACAAATACAAACACACCTATCAATGTCCTCATATAGAGAATAAAAAAGTTGCCAAGATCCTGAAATAGCATGATAAACATGCATGCCACTAAGCAATGGCTAGTGCTTCCTTCCAATAGGTGTTAAAGTGTTTTATAAAGGAAAATAAAGGTTGCAGTCTTTGGTTTAGAAATGGGTCACCTGGAAGAGCAATGGCAGACCTAGGGCTGGAACCAATAACTCATACACCCCAGTTCTATGCACAGGGACCACTTCTTCACTAACCTCTTCTAGTAGCAACTGGCATGCCAGAAATTAGTAGACAAAAGAACTAGTTTTATCCACAGGTAAAATGACATATTTTTTTAACCATTTAAAAAAAAAATATTGCTTAAAAGAATTGAGAGATCTTGCTTTTATTGATGACAACGAAGAATCTAGAAGAAAGCCCTAAAAATACACATGAAGTCTTAATAAAAGCAGCACAGTTTCTTTTCAGCAGAACTGAGAAACTTTTAAGCCACTGTGTAAGGTAAAAAAATTGCTAAATCTAAATCATAGAAACAATGGGACAGATGCTCAGATGAACTGTATTAACATGGCTCTAGTGCTGTTATTAGAATATGCGAAGATTCAAGAGCTAAAGATCTGACCCATATTGTCTACAACTTTACCAACAAAAAAACCCCACCCTCCAGAACAGATAAAACAAATTCCTAAACCCAGTGTAAATTATTCCTTCAAATGGAAGTTTTTAAATTAAATAGACTTTGCACTACCATCTTAAAAAGTAGAGTTTGATATTTACTACTTTTTTTTTTTTTAACTGTGTAATTATTAAATATAAGGCAGACCTTCTCCCGGACAAGAATGGCAGAACATTGTAACAACACTCCCATCATCTTGTGTGGATTCCAAGTGACTGAGTTGGCTCTGCAAAAAATTACACATTCAGATAGATGTGGAAAACAAAGTTAACCTGAAGTAGCCCCCTTTGTTTCCTGCTTTCAGCTGGAACACATGGAGTTTTGACCATGAAGTTTTCATTACAGAGATTACTACTGTCTCAGGTGTCTTCTTTCCCAGCTATACTGTCCAGAAAAGGAATTTTTCATGCATTAACATTGCAGTGTCAGACTTCTGATTAGTTTATATTATTACTAATACCAGCTAATTAGTATCAGACTATGCTGATTAGCTGATATAGTAAATTCATCCCCAGAAGACTCCACCTTCTACAGATAGCACTAATAAAACTAACAAAAACAGTTTGACAGGTTATATCAATTCAAGGCACTGATTGGGGCAGGGGGTGTGGGAGTCATGTCAGAGAATTAAGGGAATAATATGAATTCTGGGACAATACAGTTATTTACTGAACAGCTGCTGGAAAAGTAGAAAACAAAGGAAGACACTCAACATGTTTATCAGCTTTTCCAGTTAGAGCTACAAGAGGCCTTTTCTGTACTAGCTCATGGACCATTAAAAGGCTATAAAACTTTACATCACAATCCTCCCATTCTGTATGTAAAGCTTAAAGCTTTCTACATGTAAGCACAGGTGGATACACAAGATCACCTGATTTACTAGCCAAACAGATGAGATGTTCTGTATTTTTAACATAGTATCCCAGCTAGTTTAATGATGATGCTAAATGTGCCAACATCGCACATCCATTGACCTCTTCAGCCTGAGCAATTAATTACCAAATGTCCCCTAGATTCGCTGTGTATTCCAGAGAAGGAAAGTGTATAATCACATTTCACAGGCTATGCATATGTTCTTACAGTGTGGTTGAAAGGAAATTCAAAGATATTTCCTCCTCTTCTACACCCTACTCTCAGAGGACACAGGCACAACCACAGCTCCTCTGTTCTGAACAACATAACTACTTCGTCAGACCAGTCGGAGGACCACTAATTCCATAAAGATTCTGGATAGGATTCCAGCCTCCGGCTGTGCTAGGTTAGACCGTAGGACCCCTCAGCCAAATGAACAATGCAGCCTGTGCTATACCTGTGGAGCTCACCACCCCTCTAAAATCTCCTGCTTAGGCAGTGCAAGCCAGCAGGTACATAGCTTGGGCTTAGGAGGCAATTATCTTTTAAAGTACTTTACTAATAGTTCAGATGGAATAGTCAGGAAACAGGAATTTATATGACAGCTCATTTCCTTTTGAGAGCACTATGGTTTCAGTTTAGCACATTTGTTTAACTTTCAGGGTTCCAAACAAAGATAATTTCAAGTCATTTTCACAAGGAGTATTTGGTTTGTTTTAATATGAAGACATCACGCTCCACCCTGCACAGTCAGCTGGCTGGAGGCTGTCCTACGATGGGCAATCCCAGCTCTCTACTGTGGCAGCACGCCAGCCTTTGCACACCCCTGTCTCCAAGCAGGCCAAACCTGGCCCAAGTGCTAGCACTAGACCCCAGCTGGGCCCGTGTCAGACAACTAAACACTACGCGTGGGCCCCATTCCATGTTTGAAGATCCATACAGCTGACTAGAAAATAAATAATATCACGTTTTGTGACCTGCTATTTTCTGTATTTGCTTAAGATTATGGTCTTAATTAGCACCTCTGGGTTGACCTCCGGTCGAGAAGCGTGCCAAACTACCGAGACCAAACCTGTGCAGCTTAAGGAAATCATTTTACAATGTTGACCTCGCATTAGACGTGTTACCATAATATGAATGACTTGAAAATTGGGCTGGGCAGAGGTCAACATGATTCTGCTCCTTCAGAATACCCCTGCCACACCACACACTGCTGTCCCTTCAGTGTTTGAGCGTACGTGGATAGAGCTTGTTTCAAATCCTTTTCACTTCCGTGGAAGCGAATATCTGCAGTGATGGGAAAGATCTTATGTTTCTAGTTCTTCATTGCTTTTGTGATTTTTATTCAGATATCCTCTGGAAATCTGCCCATCTAGAGACTAATGCCCCCATGGGGTCATAAGCATAGCATCTTCTACAGATGACAGCCTTGTCATCGTTGGATATGGGAACACCTGTGACAAAGACTACATGGGACTCCTCCTGAGTCTGAATTGTAAGGGCTGGGGAGACGGTCTTGCTCTTACTCTGCTGTCACCTCCAACACAAATGCTTTGTCATTTTAAATTTGGTTCAATTAATTGTTTAATTAAGGATGGCTTTTGGCCTCAGTGGGAATCTTGGTAATCTGGGTTACATGCTTGGGGGTACACAGACTTCAGTCTGGCCCCAACAAGAGCTTCCTGCCTGTTTGATAAAACCCCCCTTGGCACCAAATCATGGGCCCTTTTACCCTGAGACGTAGTGATATCTGTGACTTTTTCCTTCCTCCCTGTAAGCTCCTTCAGCCTTCTGTCTGGCATCATGGCCCTGTACTAGCTGTGTGCTATCATAGTCCTTTCCAGCCTTATAGGTACTGAAATTTGCCCCTAAAAATTGCTGCTAATTCAGTCTCTACCATGCGTTCCATTCTTTGTTGTACACAAATACATATTTATGTGTGTATATATACAAGCAATACAAAGCAAGCACATATAGATTTATAAGCTTTCATTTACAGAACACTCATTTCCAGGCAGAACATACACTCATGTTCTGGAAATAACTGCAAACATCTTTCAGGAGAGAATCTCTGCAAATTCCCACCATGTCATGGCTTCGCATCACACGTATTCATGCTCAAACACCTCCTCTGGATTCCTTGTTTCTCATTGCTGTTCTCAAAGCCCTACATTTCAGAGACTGTCCAGCTCTCACACTTCATTTTTTCCTCAAATCCTCCTTCACCAACTCCCAGACTTGTGATCCCTTCAAAGCTATGCATAGAATTCTCCCTTCCTTTTTGCCAAGCAATATCCTTGTCCTCTTTCAAATCTGCTGAAAACTTACCTTTCACTCAGCTGTACATCACTGTTTTCTTCTGTAAGATTGTTTCAGTCTTTTTAGTGTGAACCTTTCCTGTCTTGCTTTTGTTTATTTTAATTTCTAAACTCCTTAATGCAGCAAATCCAGCTTTTTGTGAATTTCTGAGGTGTCATGTACATTACAAAAGTACTTTAATAACTGTATTACAAATAAGCACTATGTAGTACCTTTCTATTCCATTCAATTTATGACGATGCTTTCGGGACATTAAGAGTCCCCCTCCCCAGGCAGCCTGGAAGAGATAGAAAAGACCCATTGTTTTCAAAGACAATTGTTTTCAAAAAAACCTAGCCTATTTCAGTTTACTCACAATCTAGCAATAAACATTTTAATTCAAGACAAAACATGTGCAAGCAAAAATCCTCTTTTGCCTGAATAATAGCACTTCATTTAGTTACTTACGTCTACATGGAGCCAGAGGTTGTATTTTTCACATATGTCTGCAATTTCCTGTATTGGATCAAAGGCTCCATACACTGTTGTGCCTGCAGTTGCATTTACAAAAAGGGGAATGTATCCCTACGATAAAAATAAAAATATTAGATACAAAATCCAACGTCTTTCAGAGAATCATTTTAGAAATGTTGATATCCCATTTCCAGACTAAAAATGTTTTTCTCCCCATGTGAAAGGTACATATAGACAACAGTAGAAATTACCAAACCGTATACATGGTAGGAACAAACCCTGTTTTCATTGTACTGTAAGTTCACAAAATTTGCTAGTCAGAAGGTAAAGAATATTATTTTGTCCAATCTCTCTCAGTGAGGAGATACAAACGTACTAGTAGAAGACTAGCAATAGCCAACTGAAGTCGAGACTTTTACAGCAGTATAAATGAAAATTAATTAAATGTGATTTGTAAGTTGTGATTTGAAGGCTTGAAGTTGTTCCTTTAGTCTTTATCTGTTAATAAGCAGAACAAAGCAATCCAAAACAAAAGCAATAAATGTGAAGCTATCAGATGAAAGGGAGACAATTTTGAACTACATTAAATAAACATGAACTGCAATTTAATAAAGTACCCAAATGTAATGAAGTTAAAAAATAAAATTATAATAATTAAAAAAATCTTGATTGCTCTAACTTTGGTGGCTTTATACAAAATTAACATGTTGTTCATTGCACAGATTCAAGAAATAACAATGAATGTCTCAAAAACCTAAACTTACTATGTTTACTAACCCTGCAGCCTTGAAATCTATGGGAATTTGACTAAACTTCAAGAGAATTTTTTATGTTTCTGGCCATAAAAACTTTAAAGTTCGGCTAAAAGTAGGTTTAGTTTCATGTTTTCATACTATTTTTCCACATATTTCCAAACAGAAAGTTACTTTTAAAATACATAAAATACAGATGTGGTTCAAGAGTTAAAAATACTTTTGTTTTGAACAGTAAATGAAAACCTTAATACATACAGATAGTTCCCTAAACAATACATAGATGTATTATTAAGCAGCTGAAAATATTATTATTACATTATATAATCATAATGTTCTCTTTTAATGTTGACCCTCAGCCTTCAAAGGAAGAGGTGATTTTACTAAGCCAAGCATTTAAGCCCTAATTTTTAAAAACACAAACCTTTTGTTTGGCTTCCAAAATTTTTGCCTCCAAATCAGCTGGTATTATTTTGCCTCTGTAATTATTGCAGAAACAGAAGGACAAAGAAAATTAAAGAGTGCATGTGGAAATACTAGCTACAGTTCAAATATTTTAATAGGATTTTCTCAACAGGCCATTAGCAACTTGACACACTGTACTATACCAGTCCTTAAGCACAATACAACAAATTTAACAGATGAACACATTTAATACATCAAAACCTTAGCATTCAGCCCACCTTTCATTGCATTTTATCAAAATCACATTGTCTGTTCCAAATCCAAGTGCAGCTCCAGCTTTCTTTATCGAGTAGTGACTCTGCAGCAAAACATATGCACATTTAACAGAGTGTCTGTTTAATGATGAAACATCTTCACAACATACATCAATAAATTAAGAATGAGCAGCATATTAAGCTCACATGTTCCGAGGTAAAGAGAACCAGTTTAGGGACTGCAGCCATGCCTTTGGTTTTGACTTCAGGGAAATACTTGTAGCGTGCAGCCATTATGCTGTACATGTTGGAGATAGCTCCTCCTGTCAGTGAATAAATGAATGAATAATAAAATAGTGATAATGAGAAAAAAATGCATAATAGACCAAAGACATACAAGTCTCATTTGCATTATGCAGCTAAAGTGGCAGTGAACTATGAAAAAAATAATAATAATCTCTGAAATGCACGGTCATCTGCCTAAACAGCACAGGGACCGACCCTCTAGAAAGTCATACCAACAGTTAGAACACCTTTACGATCATCTCCTTCAATTGCTAACATTCATAACACATTCCTAAAAAGTTCACTTTTCATTGTGCTGCTTTTGCACGAGCGCTTCTTGTTAGCAAGGGTAACAGGAACTTATCAAATTGTCTGAGACTCAAGAAATGTCGCATACTGGATAGATTTAGCCCATCTCGTTGTAGATGTAGAAATAGATGCCTAAAAGGTAGTTTCCTACAGCTGAGATAGTTATGCTAAGCTTCCTCATACTCAGTTAAGAGAAAGAGGCACCTTTGCAGGCTATGATTCAGCTAATCTATTTGGACACTTATTTTTGAATAATATGAATTGAGGGAAACCACCTATTCCTCTTGGTTTACTGCTAGAAGAGCCCAGGACAGTTAGCTCAGTTCTGTGATACAGACCTCAAGATTTAGTAATTTGATTCTCATCCAAAAAGTATGGGATAGCTTATTGCTCCAATATTTCTTCATCAACAAGAACACAGAGAAAGATCTGTATTTCTCTAGCAGATGGGACTGGAGGCCAAGCAAGTGTGCATTCCTGGATTTTATGCAGGCTGTTCCAAAAGGAGGTGGAATTGTCCTTCATCCTCCGAAACAGGATGGTGTCCCCCTCCCCCACAAACCCAGAAATCTGGAGTTCTGCTGGACACCCATGTTGTCCACACATGGGCCCAGGACTTGTACGTGGTTTACCCCTCTTTTCGGCCACTGCTGACTGCCTTTATATCACCTGCATGGGAAGATACTTCCTCTTGGTCTTCAGAATCATGCTTGTGAATCCAGTCAGATTATGTCCCAGATAATATGTCCCACAAAGTGACAGGCAGTCACAGTCTTTTTCTGACTGTTAGCCCAAACCCTCACTGACCATGAAAGAAGGCAGTACATGATTCTCTAGAGCTACTGGTCAGCAGGAGTTGTAGTTGCTCAGCACCTCCACAAATGAAGTCCAAGAAAAGTGTGCCTAACTATGTACCAGAGCTCACAGTCAAGTTTTAAAATGTTGGCCAGTTATCACACCTAGCCATACTTAAATATTCCCCCCCCTCCAGCTTTTTTGTGGGATGCTTAAGCAATGCATGTACTTCCAGTGGGAAATTCCTACTTCTAAATAACTGCATTGTTTCGTGTTGCAGATGTTGTGGGCATTCAGACACAGCTTATGTCTATTTTATCTTTTGAAGCTTTAGTCAAACCACCAAAACAGAGGAAAACTTCACCAGGTGAGAAGATCCCGTCGCCATCTTTATTTGACCATCCAATAATCTCTCTCATCTTTCGAAGTGTTATTTGTTCCATGAGGACAAAAACAGGGGCAATTTCATAGGTAAACCTGCATGGCAGAAGCAAACAAAACACAGATCCTAAAACCACACAGTAAATTCCCAATCTATGATTCTTTGTGAAAATGCTTAAGATTCCTAAAAGTTTTCCTATAAATTGTGGCAATGATATTGCAATCTTTACCCTCAAAAATTCTCAGGAAAACAATACTGGAAATATTGGTCAATAAAAACTGCAGTATTAGCTCTTTTGCAACTTTCTATATGACCAGCATATGTCCTAATGCTCCCCATCATAGTGCTGCTGACTGCTGTTTTATGTGAAACATCTGTCTCCCAAAGTGCCAATTTCACACTTGTGGAATAACATATTGCCAGATCCCTATGAAAACAGTGAACTTCACTGAGCTAAACACAACTCTAATTAGAAGTATTGAGCCAGGACTTCAAAGTCTAAATACAATTAATTATGTGGATTTATTCTGCTGATGATCTCCAAGGACAACTTATTTCTACAACACCATGTGATCAATAACTGTCAAGAGTAATTATAAATGATGATTTTCTAATTACCAGTTACAAAAAACAAGTCAGCAGTCCACTATTGTATCCACTTAATGAGGGCAGAACACATGCATAGTCCGGTATGCCCTGATGCCAGAGACAGACGTGTGGATGGAAAGTGACAGCCATACGACCATTTTTGGTCATCAAGGTACATGAATAAATTGCTATTACTGTAAACACACTCTACCTGCTGTGTATGCCTCCCCCCACTCCCCGAAAAACAAAGTAAAAAAGGAAGCAGAAAGAAACTAAACAATCAACCCTTGATTTCCAAAGAGTCTATACGAATATGACACCCTCACACTTTGGATCTGACTGATGTCTTCCACTTGAGTAAATTCACCAAAATGTATGTGTTCTCCCTCTAGTACTAAAATGACATTTTGAACAGGTATGGCATACTTTAAGGAGACATGCGGTATGAAGAAGGGAACATCTGTCTGAAAAGATTGTCTTTCATTTACAGCTACACTGGTTAGTTAAAATACTTTTTTTCTTCAATCCTGATTTGTCCTTAGTCCATCAGAGAAACACCAACACTATTTTTAAAACATTCCTTTAAGATTAAACAGTATTTGTAATTTAATCATTGCAATTGCTATTTTCAGAAGCCAAAATACTGCTCATTTGGCTTTTATTATCATCAGAACTGTCAGAGACAGACAGTTGAACACTGATCTGAAATTTGGGTGCTGCCAATATTTACAGAAAGGCAAAGTTGGTGTCTGCTAACAGTGGGGCTAGGGTTTGTTTTGGTTTTAAGCACTGCAAGTCTAGGATATGTTCCGATCTTTATTTAGGCAGAATGACCAACTGAAGTCAACAGGAACTCAGCAGTGTATAGATCACTGTAGCCTAAACCAAGATATGTTTAAGTCAATGTGGTTTTCTTCCATCAGTTTAAATGCATTTTGAATTTTGTCCCTAGACCTTTCACACTGACCCCCACATGCTTCCCGGAAGACTCAAAGGCTTATACAAAAATATATAGAATGTTAAGCAAGTTTTTTATATACCAAATATCAAGTGTTAACAAGGGGAATTTTGAATATACTTAAATCCAAGTAAAATACCATTTATTTATTTTATTAGGTAATTATTTTCTGAGTCTCTAAAGACCAAAAAAGAAATAGAAGAAGGCTGCAGATGATTATAGATGATAAGGCCAGTGCAGCTATATTAGATTACCGCTAAGATTTTTTTAAAAAAATCACATCTTGCTAAAGTTCATTTATATGTTTTAAACATAAGTTATTCTGAAAACTTCAGTTAAGCACAGAAAATGTATTTGGCTTGGAAGGAATTGTCCTATTTCAGAACCAATCTCCTGACAAAAAATGCTGATTAGATTTTTCGTGCAGTTATAACCTTTACAGGTATTTCTATTAATTAACTAAAACATTCACGAGCCTCAGCTCTTTACTAAAGAGAATACATGTATAGGTTTTTTGGCAGTGGCCAGTGATGGCTTAATTCTGCTCTCACCTAAATACCAAAAAAATTTTATCAGGCCAAATCGTTCTAGCTACCTGTTCTCCTGTTTGACAGTACATAAAAATCATTCTGAGAATAAACATAAAGGATTTTACATAATTTTTCTGTGTTACATTTTCATAAGCGTAAATGCATAATACCAAGAATACCTGTATAATACTCTCATCTTGGCTAACAGTGGGCGTAAAGAGAATTTCCAGATATTAATATTGCTTGCTAACCTCAGCTGGCTGCTGCGTGGTGAGCAAACATCCTGCACTACAAATCCCTAGAGCTGGGTGAATAACAGCAACTTCTGAAATTTCCACCTGAAGGTCTTATGATTAGTGATTGAGCTAGGAATAGCACACTGATACATTATTTACAAGTCAATGCGGGAAACTTATTATGTTTAATTTAATATATTATCTTCACAGTGACATTTAAGTAACATTTCCTAATGACTATTTTAAACCTTAAGAGAGTACAGATGTTTTGATTACTCAAAACTCATTTGCAAAAAAAAAAAAAAAAGTTCACAAATATTTTAACTATTGTTTATAGGTGGAAAAGAAAAAACAGTAAATGGAAAACATTCCCTACCATAATCCAGTGTTACTGTCACTTGCATGTTACATGCTTGTGTAGCTGAAATAAGTTAGAACAGTTTCTAGGTAAAGGTCAGAACATGATCTTCTGTGCTAGAACACTGCTCAAAACAAATAACATGTTCCCCAGAGCTCGCAAAGAGGATTGGCTATTTTTAATAACCTTTTCTGTCAGTTCTTTGAATGATATTTTACAAACATCTTGCTTTAACCTTACTTGCAATTACTGTGTTAAGTGAAAGCATACCAATTTGACCTTTGTTTGCTGAAAAAAGAAGAGGGCAATGTATTATTTTGCATTCACTAAACCTCCTGTAAGCAAAACTCAATTTTCATGCTCACAGCAAAGTATTTTCAAGATACGTTCTTGTTTAAAGTGTAAACGGATCAGAAACTGGCTTTACAGAACTACCTATCTAATTTACTTTTAAAACCAAACAAAAACAAAAAGAAACCTCATTTTTTAAAAAAGAGTTCCTCTTTCAGAACCAAGTGAGTGTGATGCTCTTAATAATGATGGCAATATTTCATAATACTATCACAGTCTGCCATGGAGCTGAAATTTAGTATGTCTTATCAGACTTATGCAGTTTCACAGATTAGGAAAGGATAACTAAGCTAGGATAACCAAGTTAGTCAAAGGCTTACAAAAAGTGACCCTCTCTGCAGTACGTTTTTGTCAGAGAAGAACAATTTTTAATAAAATTTTTCTTTAAAAATGTAATCAGATTTATTTCCACTTTTAATTGTGGTTTAAAAAAAGGGCACTTTTCTATACTTGTTTTACAATTAAAATACATGTCACTGGGGTTTCTTCCCAACCAGCTTTTAAACCTGAATGTTTCATACGAGTTTTTAGCAAACAGATAACTGAGAAGACAGTTATTACAAAGAGCAGGATGGTTTTGGCTGGAGCACCTTATATTCTTCTTTATTGCTAATGCCAAGAAACAGGCACAGCTCGTAATCTACATAGAGCTACCGGTAATTGGCTACACTTAATGAACCATTTACTCACAGATAGGCCAGTGAAAATATTGTTCTTTTTCCAATCTTCAGAAACATTTCCTGTGTTCTGCCTATTAGCAGACTACCCAAAACAGAGGTAGCTTTAGAGTTAAAACATCTCCAATACAGGACTAAACCAGAAGGCAGTATGTTACCTGCCAAGTATTTAGACAACATCACATTTTGGAGCATATGCAAATCAATATATAAATAAAAACTGACCAGAAAGGATTTTTTGTTTGAATTTTTTTTTCATTAATTACACTTTTTATTGCAAAAATCCAACGTAATATCTTATATTTACACCTAGCTTTCATTAATTTTGAGGTCAAGAAGAGTTAGGAAAAGTTTCCTCATTAATATATTCTCGATGTAACATTTTATACTTCCTGCTCTTATTAATACTTCCATGTATTTATTTACACGTAACTTTAATAAATCTTAGACTAATTCCTTCATTATCATTAAATTAATTTTCAATGTTACATTTTTAGTCATTTTGAAGACACCCAGAAGCCACTTCTTTGCCAGCACACGAAGGTGGTGTCCCATGCCTGCTACCTCTAAAGTCAACAGGAGAAAATACAATAAAGTTTTCTGTATTCTGGTATTAGTAGATGGATAGCTGCAGCATCGGCCTAGAGATAAAGCTTAAAGAAAGGTCAGGAAAAGAGAAAGACGATCAGTCCAAGAGAAGAAAAAAATGTCATGTTATATTAGAATCAGTGTGTTTTACTTACCACATGCTCTGGGATATTTGTTTTTCTATTTATCAGAAATATAAAACTGTTCAGCTTTATATAACTATTTTCACTGTATTAATGCCACACTAGGGAAAATATAAGATACTTTTATTGAAGATGCAGCCATCAGCATTTAAAGAAGTTATACACGCCTCTGACTATACACTTCTACCGCGATAGATGGCAGCCCCCCAAGCACCAGCCACAGGCGCTGGCGACAAGCCCCTGCTTACATGTTTGTGTTAGCAGCTGATGTCAGCCACTCCCCGGCCAAGCCGATAATGTCCAGTCCTGTGGACAGCTGATTGAAAAAGCGAGGATGACCTGGAAAGAGAATTGAGAGCAGCTTAGCACAACCCCGCCGGTATCTCTCGGGTGTCACGTCTAAGCCGTCCAACCGCTCTGACACAAACGGCAGTTCTGCACCCGCAACACTTGCAGCGAAGGCTCCAGAGCAAGTCCTGCTTATGGAGACACCGTTAAGCAACATCTACGGTTGTCACAAACTTGAAAAAGCTTTAGAGGGAGTTCCCGTGTGCATCATTAGCGTTTAATTTAAAAACGAGAACCCAGAGCCGCCTGAGCCTGTGAAGCACCTCCGGCACCTGCGCTGGGGCTCAGGCTAGCCCATCTCCGGAGGTGGCGAGCGCTGGCACTAACAACCGGCAGGTGCTGGGGCCATTTGCATTTAAATGGGGAAAGAGGGGAAGGCGCGTGCGCTTGTGAAGAGGCCGTAGGGATAAGGGGGTGGGGGGAGGGTGTGGAGGAGCCCGGCGCTCGCTGAGCTGCTCGGCCGCGGGGTCCCTGCGGGAAACGTCCCGCTGCGGCGGGACCCAAGAGCCCCTCTGCAGGGGCGCTTCCCTCACGTGGTCTGAAAGCTGGGATACACCTCCTAAACAAAGGCGTTGCCACGAAACCGAAGTCAATCGTATTTCTGTATTTCAGCCAAAATTGCTTCAACAACTTTTACAAGCAACGAGCCTAATCGTTGGGTGTCTGCTTTTCTAGCATGAAGAGCTGAAATTCCTAATAAACAAATGATGACGGACTTTGAGCGCAGGGGAAGGTGCCATGATTTAGCCCTTATCTCTGCTCTCTTGGGAAAGGACACGCGGATAGCACACTGGGGACAGCCCAGCCCCGGAGGGACCCTGTCACGTCGCGTTTGACTCAACACTGGGAACGTCAGCATCTTTTGACATAAAGAAATACATGAGCCCCCTGCGATTCTGCTCCGAGCGGTGTCAGCGGGAACCTTTCGGAGGCGTGACCGGCCGGCGCTGCCTCGTCTCGGCACATCCCGACGAGGAGACTGCCGCGGGAAGTGGGGCATCACGCAGGGGAAGCGGGAAGCCACCGCGCTGCTCCCTCCCTCCTCGGGAGCCGAGGGGCTCGGGGCTAAAGCCATCACCATGGCTTAGATATTTGCTTTGCAGATGAGCACTCTGGGGTGAGGGGAGGAGATTGCTCGACACCCCAGTGCAATCAATCCCGGAATAACGGTGCAGGCACACCGACTGAGTGACTGGCTCTGCTGCTGCTCACCTGTTCAACAACCCACGGGGCTGGGAGCGAAATACGCTCCCCTTTGATGAAGGGCACAGAGTCAAAATATGCCCCTGACACCCCTAAATAAAACAAACCAACGTGTAAACGGGAAAAGACGGGAAGCTACCCGCCAGATCTATTGTCAAGATTTTGTTCCTTGAACGCACCGCGCTGGGTTTTCACAGTTGCATAGATAAACGGCGCAGAAATCAGCGCCCCGTGCTTCAGGAGCCATCGCTGGCAGCTGCCTAGCCAGGGCCTGTCAAACAAAAGCCTCCCTCTACGAGCTCTCGCAGCTTTAGCTCCACAGCCCTGAACGGCTGCAACAGGACTGGGGAGGGGAGACACGGCCCCCGCTCCCTTATCGCTCCAGTTCCTGACCTGCTTGGGGATGTACAGCACTCAGGGCTTGTTGCCAGCCGAGCTCTCTGCTGATAGAGATGTAAAACGTTTCAGGCCAAACAGCCCGCCGGAGCAGAGGCTTTGGTCTGGAGCCTGGCTACAGTTCACCCAGTAAAAGAAGGGATTATACACCGGCATTTCTATCTGATTCAGAAGGACCAGGACAGGCGGGGCTCCTGGGTAATGGGCTGAAATCCACAGGGTTCCTTTACTGATGATTCCTAGGATTTCAGTCCCTTTTTCATTAAACGTCTGGTGAACATAAAGAAGAAAAACTGCAAATTCAGTGTCATTTATGCCCTCATTTACCTAATGATATTGCTCCCCGGAGATACAGACAGCTCGCTTTTCATCAAGTGGAAGAGATTACGTCTTAAAAACTTGTTTCTGGGCACTGCAAACAGCACCAAGCCCTGCCCGCCGGGGACGGCTGTAGCATTAATAGCTGAGGTTTCTGCGCAGAGACATTTCCAGAGCCCGCAGACAGACCTGGAGCTGAGCCTCCAGGGAAGCAGAGGCGAGGGCATGGGTTTACCTCCGTGGGCGCAAGCCAGCTCACTTCACCGTGGGCCACAGCAAAGCCCCAGGAGGGTCTCTCCAGAGCAGTGTGTGAGAACCTACCTGTCCTCACTCCGTATTTCAGCGTGTCCCGGCAGTCCACCAGGATCTGCTCCAGGGACTCGGGGTTGTCCGAGAGCTCCAGGTTGAAGCCCTCCATGCCCTCCAAGAGCTGGTGCGGGTGGTGGAAGTCCAGCACTTTGGTGGATCTGTCAAACGTCTTCCTCACGTAGTTGAGGAGGATGTCCACGACCTCCAGGAGGAACTGCATGGTCTGCTCCTCCCCATTCTTGGCGGGCAGCAAATCTGCGAGGCAAAACAGCTGTCAGCGCCTGCTTTAGGAGCGAGAGGCAGAGATGAACCAGTCCCGCAGCTCTCCCAGGACCTGGAAGCCGCGGCCCCGACGCAGCCTGGCTGTAGCGGGACGGGCGCCCGGC